CTTTATCTCACCCACTTGTTCCAGAAGTTCTCCTCACCTAAAAGGATTTTACTAACTAATAAATTTATCACTTGGGGTTTTTACCAGCAAAACCAGAAAACTTTGAGTATAACTAAGATTTTCCACATTAAGCCTTGTTTTTGTTAAATAGCGTGGTTTCATTTAATAATACTCATTCTTCTATTTAAACAACTTCAGTTTTGATTTCAAAAATGAAGTAAAATTGACAACTCTTCTCAGTGTGGACATTTAAAAGGAACAGAAAGAGCTACTCAGTAGTCAAAATTTAGGCTGAAAAAAATAATTGCTAACAGCTTTGCTGTGTCCCATGCACTTGACAGAGTGTTACATTTATATCTGAGAATATCTTCTCATAAGTGGGAATCCTGACTCCACCTTCATGACAGCTGGATTTGTGGAGTGTTTGTCCTGCTTTAACAGTGAAATGTTCCATCCTCATCTTCAGCATCTGCTGACTTAAGTAGGCAGAGGAACAGAGTGTGTGCCCTTATCTCTGATACCTGGCTCTGACATCCAAGAAAACACTGAATTTCATATAACAACATGAAAACAACTGTTAAAGTTAAAAACTAAGAGTGTGAGTGTATAAATTAAAGAATTTTCTTAAGTCACCAGCTGAAAAAGTTAAAGGTTTAAACTAGTTAGAAAACAAAAGATAAGCTGGAGGATTTAGGGTGCTGTCTCTTCTTCCTTCTTCTTTCTTCTTCATCTTCTTCTTCCAGAGGTTTTTGGGTAGTAATGAGTGATTGGATAGAAAATGCCACAGTGCAGCTCACAGGTGTTGGGTCATTGGGTCACTAAGAAAAATAATTAACTTGGCATTTGTTAATTGGGTAAATGGACATATAAAAAACCTTGAAGAAGTTCTTTGTTGGCCATTTTGCACCTTTCTATCTTAGTGCATGTAGCCCCTTGTGCCTTGTATATATGTAATATAGATTAGAGAAGAATAAACAACAAGAGAAAACTGCCTCTCTCTCATCAATCTCAGTCCAAGGGGGAAAAGAACCCAACCACAAATGTCCTATCAAGACAGGGAGGGAGTTTTCCTCCCAGACCCCCAAGTGTGTGTCTCTGTGGGAGCTGTGCGGTGACAGCCGGGCTCGATCTCTTCCCACAGCTGTGGAACACGTTCCATGAGAAGCCCATGGTTAAGGTGGGGTTCAAGAAGAGCCTTGCTGCCCTCCAACTGGACTACCTCGACCTCTACCTGATGCACTTCCCCATGGGATTCAAGGTAGTGCTGCTCTCCACCCCTTTCCTCCCTCAGCCCCCCAGGAACACGCTGCATTCTCTCATCTTTGCTGTGACCATCTTCATTACCCAGCTGGGTTATGGGGTTCCTTTGGCTCTTCCCTGATCCTGGTGGTAGCAAGAATTTGGTCATTAAAAAAGTGATGTTTTAGCATGGGAGTTTGGCTTTTCATGCCTTTTGGATTGAAATGTAAGTGTGAGCACCCCTGGGTCTTCTGGTAACCAGCACAGGTGGTTACAGCATGGACATCAAGGTTTTTGGGGATGTTGGCTTGGTCTGAAGCAAGCAGCAGTGAAAAATTAAGCACAGCACAGAAGGAATGTATTTTTTCCCCCAATCTGCATCTGTGTAAAATAAATAAGAAACTAGAACAAAGGGGCTGGGGGGTGTCTGTTCCCTTCTCTCCAGATCTGCCAAATTTACATAATTATTACTAATCCCACACCCTTTGCATGCAGGCACTGATATTGTGAAATGTGGCCCCCACCCAAAAGAGAATACTAACAGACATGCATCACTTTTAGTTATGCAATATGTTTAAACAACTTGCTGCCAGTAAATGCAGTCCAAAGTGCTGGTACACCATAGGAAATTCAACACTTAAAAAGTCAGTGTATTATTTTTAATTTAACAGGCTGGTGAAGAGCTGCATCCTCTGGATGACAAGGGTCACAGCATTCCCAGTGATGCAGATTTTCTGGACACATGGGAGGTGAGTCAATATTTGCTCTTCAGAGCAGAAAAGGTGGAGCAGAGATCTGTGTGCAAAATGAAATTGAGGGGTATGTTTGGGCATGAAGGACAGCCACACAAAATTGTATTTCAGCCAGAGAGTTGCTTGTATCTCATGTTTTGGGGAGCAAGAAGGGGATGTTTTTAGTAAGGCTAAAGGGAAAGAAGCTGTCAGCACTGTAGGTGCTGTCTTTGAAATACTTGGATACACAGAAAAGGTAGAACCAACCCTTTAGATTAATCTAGGTGTGGCTGTTAATTTACTGGGTGTTAGTGCAGTTAGGAGTCTGTTTTCTTTTATTAACTGAGGTACTTTTATGTCATCTAATCTAGCATGAATTGTTCATTCATTTGCCAGGAGCTTGAGGGAAATAAAATAATGTAGTTTGACAGTAATACCAAACTCATCCCTTCCCCTTGGTTGTCCTTTCTCATTAGGCCATGGAAGAGCTGGTGGATGCTGGTCTGGTAAAAGCCATTGGTGTCTCCAACTTCAACCACGAGCAGATTGAAAGAATCTTGAACAAGCCAGGACTGAAGCACAAACCTGTAATGAACCAGGTGAGCATTTTGTTTCCATTCCTCAGCTAACCTTGCAGTCCAGAACCATAGAATGGATTAGGATTGGAAAGTACTTTAAGGATTATTTAGATCCAGCCCCTTTCCATGAGGCTGGAGCCTTCCATTTAGAAGTATTCAATATATTTAGAGAGTGTGTGTGTGTATATATATAATTAGAGGACACCTAAATTCATACAAAATATAAACACACTATACATGTCCTATATAAATAATTTATGCAATATATACTTAGAGTAATCCTAAATATATCCAGCAAAATCCCTACTGTGAGTTCCTGCACCAGCATGGGACTTACTAATTTATTATTGATTCATTATTATTACTAGACTTACTAATTTTTCAACATAAAATAAACCACTCCATTATAGGAAGGAGGTTGAAGAGTACAATTGCATAACAAATTATGTGATTATGTAACATATGATGGCAGCACAGCAGCAGCTTAGGGGACCTTCTGATTTTCTTCCAGCTTCTTTGCACTCAGCTGAGGGTGCTGAATGTAATTCCCACTCTTCCAGGTGGGGAATGCCCAGGGAAGTCCCCACAGCAGCTCAGGTGTGAGATAACCACGGTACAGGTTCTTTGAGGAAAGGAGAGGTTGAGTGCATGAGAGCAGGAAATGAACTTGAGGCATTCTGAGCTGCCCCTCTGAGGGTGCAATCCTGCCCTGCAGCGGTCCAGGGAGGCTCATTTCCCTGATTCCACAAATAAAACACTTCCATTCTTGTCTGGTTTTTGCTTTCTGTGGGTAATATGTAGCATGAGAAGGCTGTTCTCTGCTAGGCCTCTAGATGCTGCTGTGACATTAATAACTTTTTCATGAGATACATTTGAATCATGGTACTGGAAGTGAAGTCTTCACATTTTCTGTGATCCAAGAGGATTTAAAATGTAAAGCTCTGCAGCTCAGCAAAGTCTTCCTCTTTATCAGCCATCTTCCTGTGCCTGCAGGTGGAATGTCATCCATACCTGACCCAGGAGAAGTTGGTCAAGTACTGTAAATCCAAAGGGCTGGCTGTGACTGCATACAGCCCCCTGGGCTCTCCTAACCGCCCCTGGTAAGACAGCACTGCAGCTTTTCTGCACACAAAACACTGCACTTCAACCGGGAAAAATTATTATTATTACTATTATCATTATTATTATTATTGTTATTATTATTATTATTATTGTCATTGTCATTATCATGATTATTATTAATTGTATCATTATCACTATTATTATTAATTGTTATTATTATCATCATTATCATTATTATCATTATAATAATACTTTTTATATATTATATATAATTCGAATTATTAACTATATAATAATCATTATTAGCATTATCATTATTAGCATTATTATCATTATAATAATACATCTATATATTATATATTATTTGTATTATTAATTATATAATAATAATCATTATTAGCATTATCATAATGATAATAATGATGATAAAATGATAATAATGATAAAACGATAATGATAATGATAATAGTAATAATAATAATCATCATAATCATAATAATGATAATGATAATAATGATAATAATGATGATAATAATAATAACAACAACAATAATAATAATAATAATAATAATAATAATAATAATAATAATAATAATAATAATAATAATAGTAAGTAAATGATAGAGGTGAAATGACAAGAATTCTGTTGCCTTGATGCAGATTATGTCCCATGATGTCAGGCTCCTACAGGGCAGCTATCACCTTTCTACTGCCACCATCTCTATTTTTTAACAGGGCTAAGCCAGGGGATCCCACCCTTCTGGATGATCCCAAGATTAAAGACATTGCAGCTAGACATCAGAAAAGCCCTGCCCAGGTAAATTGCCAGAACAAACTATTCCTCCTGCTCAGATGTCTTGCAGGCCACTCCTGGCAGATGTTATTTTCTCTAAATTCTAATGGGGCTGAACTTGACTCTTCCTTCTGCCCAAGTTCTTAATAGTCTTCAAAAAATCATCAGCTGTTTTCAAGGAGGTCTTGAGTGCCAAGTTTTGGGGTGGACTGGTCAGAAATGGTTACCTCAGGTGTTCACCTTCCTAAATTTATATTCCTTTCTCCAGCTAAGTCATTCTTCAGAACAGTCCTGTAATTTGATTGGCTCTAACCTGCTCATGTTCACAAAGAATTATTGAAAGCTGCTTGATTATTTAAGATTTCTTTTTTCTCTATTAGTTTGCTAGTCACACAAATGAGTTGGTGCCTGGGGTGTGCAGAAGCAGCACCTGAAACAAAGCCACATGTTCACATGCCATCAAAGACAATCATATTCTAAGACAGGCAGAGTAGGATGAAAACATTCAATAGTTGGGTTTTTTTTGGAGGGGAGGGGAAACTTTTAAATTCTGTAAATGTTTTTCCTTTTATGGGCTTTCAAAGGCTGAACCTTGGTGAGATACTTACCTGTGAGCCCAAATTAATCTGTAGCATCATTATGCTCACTGAGTCTGAGCACTCACATAATACAAACCAGAGCATCATAATTTTTCTCCCCTTGCTACCACCCTAAACAAAACCAAAACAAGTCCTGCAAAAGCCACAATGTAGAAACAACGTGGGCTTGAAGAAATTACAGTTTGCCAGTTTGCTGGCAAATGTGTGAGCAAACTCCTGTGTGCAAACCTGTGATCTTCCAAAGAGTGAATATGGTTGTAGAAAAAGAAACTGTAGATTAAAAGGAAAAAAAAAAAAATCCACAAAATGTGTTTGAATAGATTTCTCAGGACACTGTTTGTGCTCCTCCTTGTTCTTTCCTAGGTCCTGATCCGCTTTCTGGTCCAAAGAGACATCATTGTCATTCCCAAGTCTGACAAGCCACACCGTGTTGAGGAAAACATGAAGGTGAAGTTCCCTTTGGAGATGCTGCTGCCTGGTTTGATGCACCCACAGCCCCTCTGTGTTTCCAAGCAGCACCAAGTCACTGGAAGGGGGGTACAGAGATTTGAAGACTGGGGCTCAGCACTACCAAACCACCTGGGGAAAAGCATTTTGTTCCTGCTGGGAGAGAAATGAGTTACACCAGGGTGGTCTGAGCTCTGCTGCTGCAGAAAGAGACCCCCAGGTTTGGGCTTGCCCTTGGGGGAAAGCTTAGCAAGTCCTCAGGGTGTAAAGGAACAAGCTGTGACCACCAGAGCTGTTAGTTTGTCTCACTTTGAGGCTGTGGCTGCCCTGGGCAGTGCAGTTTAGCTGGATGTTTGCTCATCAGGTGTGGCATCTTACATAACACCTCTGTGCTGCTTTCAATCCATGGTGAGAGGGTTTGGAGTCATTTCTCCTATGAACCCCTAGCAAGAGCTCTTACATGATTAACCGAGATTATTTAACAGTTACTTGCAGCTGATACCCAGCAGTCCTCTCTTAGAGCAGAACATCTACCTCCAGTATTTGTGACACACCCTGAGCACCTAAAAACTTCTCTGTGTGCATTACAACACAAAGTGCAGTGGTGTTGGCATTCAGCCACCCAGAAATGTGAGACCTTGCCATGAACAGCACCTCAGAAAGAAAAGAACTATTTTGATGGCTTCAAGGGTTGTTATTTGCCTGAGAAATAAGAGAATTGTTCAACTCTGCTTAATGCATGATTAATTAATCCAATTAGGACTCAAGTCCTAAGTGCATGAAGCACACTTAGTAGCTGACTACTCATGAATCTAACTAAAAAGAGTTTTGTTTTGTTTCTTTTTTATCTTTCCCTGCTAGGTGTTTGACTTTGAACTGTCTAAAAAGGAGATGGATGTCATCCTCAGCTTTAACAGGAACTGGAGGGCAGTTCCAGTGGTCCAGTACGTTCCTTATTATCCTTCCTATCAATTTGTCCTGTTTCTGTCTGTATTTTCATCCCCCCTGTCTTGAAAACATACATGACCAAGACCAGGGAGAGCTCATATTTTAAACTTTGAGGCATGTCCTGGAAATTCAGGAGGGAGATCCCTTTGGAGAGTGTTCCCTCCAGCATACTGGTGTTGGAGGGGCTTTTCCACAAGGCTGTGTTTAATATTATTTAATGACAGCTGCAGGACTCGAGCACCTTGGCAGTGGGGCAGGGAAATGCTGTTCAGAACACTTTCTGCACTACTTGAATAACAAAATCCTTCTCTTTTCAGAGCTGTCAACCACAAGGACTACCCGTTCAAAGCAGAGTATTAAATGCTGGTGGTTCCTGCAAGACCTCCATTTAACTCCTTCCAGATCAGGTGTTCTCTCCAGCTCGACCTTCATTTCTTCTCTACTTGATAATCATTATGGGCAGCACCTTTTTCCTCCTTTTTTTTTAAGGAGGAGAGCACTGACTGATGTAAGAAAGCAGCAAAAAGGGTGGGATTTTTGTAAAGATGCTTGGCAGAAATCTGGTTTTGATTAATAGTAAAAAGAAGGTGTCTTTTCATTTCCTTTTTATCTGGTCTTCCTTAATAAGAGACGTGTTTAACAAAAAACTAGCTACTTACATGGAGTTTTTTATATGTTACCTCCATTGTGGTCAGTCATACAGTGACTCATGAGTCACTGCCAAAGAACAGTTGCTTTTTATATATTTGTGATTTTTACAGAGTGTGTTTCTAATGCTTTAAAATTTTATATGAATAAAGTTTTATCAACAACAAAAATAGATCAGTGTAGTCCTTAAATTGTTTTATATAGTTTGGCATGTTTTTCTAAATTTTAATACAGATACAAATAGGTTTCCATAATTTCTGTACAAGGACAGGAGATACAGATCACTTTGTGGTTTATTGTTCAAAACAGGATTGTGCTGTAGCTGGGACCTAAAGAACAAAGTTGTCACTGTTGCCCCACACAGCCCTTCCTCTGAATACCTAAAAAACTGAATTCCTGTGTGATTAGTGGGGAAGGGTGAAGACAGCAACATGGGCAAGGATAATTCACAGTAAAATCCAGCCAGATGAATGTAAGGGCTGCCTCCAACATCAGACTGGGAGTCTCAAATATAAACTTAGATTTTTTGCAACTCTGCTGGCAGCATCCAGAATATTACACTCAGACACAGGCTGAGGAAAGCACGGAAAAAAACCCTTCTTCAAAATCACCAGAGCAAACCCTGAGACAGGCTGACAGTAAATTGCTGTAAAATATTTTCAGATTGATTTTTGCTAGGCCAAAGCCAAGCTGGTTTGTGGCATTCAGGAGAGACATCCTTAGGGGTTCTTTACCTTATTTCACAGGGAATTAGCACAATTCCTGTCCCACTTACAGCAACTGGTCCATCCCTACTCATTGACAAACAGGGGGCTGCTGATGGGAATACTCCATTTATTGCAGATGCAGTTTCAGAATACATTTCTTTGAACAAATTGTTTTTATTGCAGCCATCAGATGTTTTTTGAAAGACTCCTAGGAGAGCTCACAAACCCCCCCCCAAACAAAAAAACCATGACAACTCACAGACAATGCCAGGCACAGTTTCACCCCCTACAGAAAACTTCGTGCATCTCCACATGTAAACAAGATGTTTCAGCTGAGCAGGGAGCCCAGCTTTGGGTTGGAACAGAATATTACACTTCTTTAGGAAGAATCCAGATGCTGCAGGAGATGGAAGTGGTGATAAGGGAGGTCCTGGGGGGCTCTGATGCAAAGCTGTTCACAATTTGCTCAGGGGCTACTTGAGTTGCTCAGTTTATGCCCCCATCTTCTGTAGGATGTCAATGCTAAACTGTATGGCATGTAAATCCAAACCAAGCTGATGTCTTACAGCCAAGTATTTACTATGTACAAACAAAAACATCTGTAAATAAGGTATTCAGGAGAGAGAGGTAAAAAGAAGCATCATAGAGGTTTACTTCATTTTGGTGTACGGCACTGATGGATGGCAAGATTTAGTGTACAGTCATTTGAAACAAGCTCCAACTCTCTTTACATCTTTTTCTTTTTAATTATGGTGGTTTTATATAAATTAAACTACAACGTTTTTATACAAGTGACCTATTTTTGACCCTCTATACCCTTACCTTTTCCTCTTTTAAAAACTATACTTTCTTTTTAATCACCCATTTCTGGGCAACTGACATTTAAATTTTTTTTAATACTTATCTCACCATACCTCTACTGACAATTATGAAATCTTACTATAGAAAAGTGTGTGATTTTGTCTTTATTTTTTTTTTTTAAGCTGTGATATTGGCTAATTATGTATGTTTATTGCTAAATATAATACTCTAGCACATATTAAAGCATTCTACCATTAGTAGTGCCTTTAGGCTAAACTTTGTAAAGCTATGTGTGTATATATATTCTAGATTGCATTCCATTACTAGTCACTAACAACAAAAAGAAGTATCAGTACCGCTGTCAGCTAACATAATCATCCAAATTTAGGTATTAACTTAAACTAGAATGGAAAAATTGATACTTTAAAAAAAAAAAAGTATAAAACAAAAAAAAAAAATTAAAACACGTTATTGATGCAGTATTTCTCATGACATGGGCAACTTACAGAAAATATTACATTGTCAACTAAAGATATTTCTTCCATGCCTTAGTTTAAAGTGCAGAAAGAAAAAAAGACTTCTGTTTTACAAAAGTAACCATTGTTTTTATAGGTTTACTGCACACCTTTCCCAAGCAACTTTACTTTACATGCTTTTTGGGTTGACCAAATGCCAGCTGAAATCACTGTTCAGATACATATTTATGAGTGTCAGTAGGAGAGTTTATATATTTCACAGCATGGGTTTCTTTAGGAATAAAGGCTCTTGTGCAAAGGCAGTACTATTCTGATGAATGTCTAGACTGATTATTAAATACAGTGCTAATATACATGGTTTTAACTGGGATAATGCAAAAAGACATTTTGGTAAATAAACATAAATATAAAAAGAACAATTTAGCACTTTTTCCTTTTTTTTTTTTCTTTTTTTTTTTCTTTTTTTTCTTTTCCCAAACTGATTGGTCCAGCATCTTTAAGGGCCTTCTATGGTTCTTTCTCAAATTGTCTCAAACCTGCTGAGAAAGAGACAGATTAAATATGGCTTGAAAGAACCCAAACACATCTCCAGAACAGAAAAGGCACAGCTCTCAAGGTTAACAGGTAAGGATACGGGGTGGGAGTGTTCTGCTCATGCACTGGGTTGCTCTGAGGTGGGTCCCAAGAGGACAAAAATCAGATTTCAGCCTCTGAGGAGAGGCTCAGCAGTGCCCAAACCCCTGGGACAGCTCCTGTGGGTGGAGAACACTTTCCATGGGGACACAGCTGCACTAACCCTGAGCCAGCCCAAAATCCTCTCCCCTGACACTTTGGTTTAAAAAAGGACAAGAGGAGCAAAACAATTCTGCTTTGCACCACTCTAAACCAAAAAGAAGAGTTCACAGGTATACCATACCTCTGGCTTCACATAAAAACACTAAAAATGTTTGTGCACACATTAAAGTGTAGAAAACCAAGAGTTTCTCTATATTTGATCATTTCCCTCAGTAAAGAATCGATGTTGCAAAACATCCTTAAAGCTGTTAAACCGGTCAGCAAACTTCCATTCTCCCCAACTGGTTCTCAGCCATAAAATGAGTTTAATTGGCTGTATTTGGAGTGCTTTAGGTTAAAATAAAAATAAAAAGCTAAGAGGGCAATTTTGCTGATTTCTTTCTGTAAAACTAGGTTGTGTTTCACCAACCAGTGCTTTAAAAATGACAATAAAAAAAATATTTTTGCCTTGAAAAGAACATTAGTGCACAGCTCCAGCAAAAGCAGTTTCTCAGCCATTCGTGTTCCAATGACATTGCAATGGAATTTGTGAAAGGCAAAGGGAAAAAGGAGTTCTGGGCATCAACATGAGCAGCTGCAGAATTTTAAAACACAGGTACACCTGTGCAAAAATGTGGCAATGGTACTATATAATAATAGGTATTAAAATATCTGCATTGTATTATTATATGCATATCATCAAATATTGTATGTAGTATTTTATTATTTATGTATGCTAACATTATATGTATAATATTTATATTATATGTATAATATGCATTAATAGATATTATACTATGTATTATATCATATCATATTACATAATATACATTATTATTTTATATATTAATATATAAACGTATTTATATTTTTTATCTTTATATATTATATTATATTATATTATATTATATTATATTAATTATAATATAGTATATTATATTATAATATTATAATATAATATAATATAATTAATATAATATAATATAATATAATATAATATAATATAATATAATATAATATTATTTTATATTATATAAATAATTATTAGTATATATTATATGTATTTTATATATTTGTATATTTATATATTATAGAAAATGTATATTAATATATATTTTCATATATTTGTATATTTATATATGATGTAAATATATATATGAATATATGTGAATATATAATTGCATAATTATATATAATTAATATAATATATTAATATATTATATTATATATACTAGAATAGAGTATATAATATTATGTATAATATAATATAATATAGAAATATAATATAGAAATATAATATAGAAATATAATATAAAATATAATATAAAAATATAATAAAAATATATAAAAAATATATGATATTCAACTATAGAAACAGGTGCAATGTGTGTATTATGGGCATTACTTACCATTAGTCTCTGATTTTTTCCCCATAGCTGATACCTGTTTGAAAAAGCAAAAAAGCCATTATTAAAATCCCATGTAGGAGAACATTGCTATTTATAACAGGAAGAGAAAATCAACCCCATACAAAGGATGGATGTCCACACATAACACAGCTCTGCTAAACAGGAATATAAAAGCCAGACACTGCTTTCTGAACCTCATTGTGCTTTTCTCTCTAGATAAAAAGGTGGGTGAGGAACAGAATATTTTCCTCTCAAGGCTGCCCAGAAGTGTTTTTACCTTAGAAGAAGCAGCTGGCTTCTCCACTGACTGCTTCTCCCAGAGATTGCGTTTGCCAGATACATCTCCTGGTCTTAAATCCTGTATTTTAAATGTCAGAGAACAGAAACCAACATTAGCTCAGGTTTATATTCCTTTGTTACAGAAAAGGTTACAATGCAACTTCCTCACAAGAGAATTTGAGGAACATCCACTAGAGGTAAATATTACATTGTTTATCAGTTATAAAGAATTATATTTCACAAAATAACTCCAAACACATCCATGTTTTAAGACAAAAAATTCTGTTGCATCTATTTCATGTGGCACAGACTGGCCTTTACCCAGTATGCACAACTTAGGGAGTGTAGTGAAGAATTACTGCACCATCAGTTTTTTACAAAAAAACCAAAAAAATCCAATTTCTGCAGAAAAAACCCCCACATTTTCTCAGGGACAATATTTCTGCTAGGGAGGAATTCAAAAGTAGCTTGTCTTGGTTATTTTAGATCAAAATCAAAATATTTTATTTGGAAAAAGAATTACTTATTTATTTAAAATTGTGCAAAAAAAATTGAGTTAGACTTTTAATACAACAGAAAAGCAGATCCTACATCCTTAAATACAGATTTCAGCACTTATCACTGTAGTCCTTCATATCCATTTTAATTTCCCTTGCATCCTTTGTAACCTTAGGATGTGCCCATCACAAGCCTGACAGGAAAAAAACATACCAAAACAGAGGTAAAGTCATTAAAGAATAGTAGTATTCTCTGAAAATGAGTGTATTATGGAGACTTTAACCAAAACTATAAAAATGTCAATTATTTTTTGGGGAAAAGGAGGGCTGCAAATGAAAATGACATCTGCTGGGGAGATGGATTGATATCTACCTCTGTGCATGGCAAATAAGAGACTCAAACAATTTTGGACATCAGTGCTCTCCTTTTCAGCAAGTATTCCAGTCCTGCACGGCCTCCAGCATTTCCTACTGGCCATCCAGGGATGTAGGGAGGGAAGTTTTCTGCACATGAGAATTTCTACCTGTAAAATGCTCAGTGATGAATGGAAATGAGGTTCCTGCAAGGGGTATTTTGCAGAGAACTGGTGAGAATTTGCAGCCACACAGGGTTGCTGATGATCAGAACTTGCAGCCAATTCTGCACTTTAAAAAGGGAGGTCATTAACAAAAGAAGGAGGAAAGCAGCCAACTTTGACCTGATAACAAAGCCACTTGCAGGGGACACCACCACAAACCCATTTCCACAGTCCTGAAATGATTTGTGATCTGTGATTTAGGTTCATGGTAGAACTGAAATATGTGCTCTGCCCTGAATTCAAATATTCAAACTCCAGAAGAATCTTGATGGTCACAAAAACTTTGAATGTTTCTTTACTCTGGCACAATGTGATGGGGGTGAGAAGTTATTTGCTAAATAAGAAATTCTGGGCTTCCCTTCGATTTATCCTGACTAAGAAAAAGTAAAAATCACACATTATAGATGGATATAAACCTTCATAGCCAATTATAAACAGATTTACCTGACCAACTTAGCAAACAGACCCCCAAAGAAGAAGAATAGGAGGAGGGCGTGATCCTTCAAGCAGAGACATTGAAAGAAGAAAGAGCAATCTATTGAGAAAGAAGGAAATTAAGACATAGATAGAAACAGTTGGTTGAGGGAAAAACAAGAGATTAGTTTTACATTGTCTAAAAGATTCAACTTAAAAGAAAGAGAGAAAAATCTGGAGGCAGGGTCTATACTGGACAACGCTGCAAATTTCAAACTCCTCTTTAGGACAAACAGGAGTGTGAATTGAGAAAGTGTTTGCACTTTTTATAAAGGGCAGGTGAACTGGCAGAAAAACAATGCACAAGGATACGAGAATAAATCAGTTCTTGAACAAAATCCTGAAGCTGAATCATCAACATCACAAACAATTCTCCAATATGGACACCCACATTCTGGTTCCTCATCCTTACCCTTCCCCACCCCACAGTTACCTCCTGCTGCTCCTTCCCACATTCTGAGTGATAATAATGAAATAATGAGTTTATTATAAATACCTCAACAGTATTTTCTGCTCTGATTCTGGCTGAATTAATGGGCAGGCTAAAGGGCCTTCATTTGGAGGTACATTTAGGCTCAGAAAGAACTAAATTATTCCAGTTGTGTTTTAAAACATACTTGGAAGATTTTTTTTACAGGGCAAGGGCCAAACTCCAAGTGTGAGCAAGTGTGCAGCCTGGGGTCTGTGGCTGGTCATTTCTAAATTGTAAATGTAAATTCTAAATGTAAAGCCTTTCACAGGTGGTGAATTAAAGTCATCCTCTGCTTCCCTGAGCTTTAAGGTGAGAACTTCCCTGTTTCCTGTCCCCGTTTTCTGACTGCCAAGGAGTCTCTGTGAGCTTCCAAGAGGACACAGAGTTCCTCCCAAGGCCATCAGCTGGTGGAGGAAGCTCCCTCTGCCCCAGGAGAGAAGAGAAGGCTGTTCCAAGTTCACTTACAGAAGGTTTTGGAGCAGGGGATTTGTTGCTCTCTGGGGTCTTGGTCAACCACTCGTTGATACGACTGGAGACACCAACCTTCAGTCCAGCAGTTTCCTGCAAAATGATAAAATCCAGTCATAAGACCTTCAGAATGGCTTTTGCTCTGTTTACCATGGTTTAGATTTAAAGCAAAGCCAAGTTTAGCAGAGAGGTCCTCACTGAGCCTGTGGCTTGCTCAGAGACATTGTCCCTATGAATTACACAGTGCTGCTGCCCTCTAGGTCTCAAAAATCCTACAAAACCATCTTCACTTTACTGCTACCCCAGTAATAAATGTCAGACTAATAAATAAAATAAAATAAATAAATGTGTTGTTTCTACCACAACCCCAAACTCCAAAAACCTTTAGCTTAAAGAGAAGACATCAGCTCAAATCTACTTTTTTTCTCTTGTTAAACTAATTTTTTTTAAAAAGCATACAGTGGTACTTTTAAGAAATGGCCTAGAATTTAAAACATTAAATCTTTAAAAGGCGAGAACAAATTAATAAAATGTAATTACTGTCTGTAATAACCCACTTCAATCCATGGCTCATCAATTTGCCATTTGATAAATGCTCAGCAACTCACATCAATTTACAGAATGAAAATGTTGCCTTAAGGGTTTACATAGAAAAGATAAAGGCCTCACAAATACTTCTATGAATTATCTAGAAAATATCATCCTTATCCTGCTTATTCAAATCTCTTCTGCTCCCCAGAAGAATTTTGCCCTACTCAAAGAATTTCTTTGTACTCTGCTTGAATGCCCCAGATGTATTTTTCTAAGATATCCGATGTGGCTCTGGAATGTCTCATAACTGAGCTCAGTAGGTCACTAAATTCTTCCGTTATATTTAATATTGCAGCCACACCATCTTGTGGATTTCTGAGGTCTTCAGGATCCTTTGGGATATTCTTCAGCAGTGATGTCAACAGGAGCAGGCTGGCTCACTCAGAGGAACACAAACAGCAAGGTCAGATCCAGAGCATAATCCTTTATAATCACTAGGTTTAATTAAACACATACCTTATTTGGTGTTCCTGTCCCAGAAGGTGATGAAAAAACATTCCCTTTCTCCCACATGCTCTTGATATTGCGGACACCCTCAGCTGGAACGTGAAGGTCAGAAGCTTTAGCTGGTCTTGAAGCCTTTGTGCCCTGGGGAAGAATTGCCAGTTGGTGTTCACCCAGCTGTGAAAGTGGCTTTTTTTTTTTTACAATTTTTTTCTTTTTTTAAAAAATTAATTTTTAAAAATTAAATATTTATTTAAACATTTTATTTTTGGCTCTCTTATTTTTTGCGTTTATTGCCTTCCTAAAACCCGTGGCAAAACTTAGCTCTGCACACAACTGCTCCAAGGCTTTAAAATCATAGTTGGCACCTGGATCCTGGAAAATTGGCTCTTTTAGGGACTGAGCTAGGGAAATCCTTCTGCAGAGGCAGGGGGAAAGGCTGCTCTGTCACTCAGCATCACACTGCTCCATCTGCCCCAGAAAACTGAACCTCAGCATTCCAGGGGTAAATCTCAGCAATTACAGTGTGTTTGAAACAAGGTGTTCTTTCAGAGTGGAGAGTTGGGTGGGAGTTTTGGGGTGTGTTTTGGGAGAAACGTGTCTTTTGCATGGTTACTAAAAACACCAGGCCAAATTCGCCTTCTTCCTTCTTTTCAAAATTCTTGCACATTTTACATATCATAGGTTTGATGAGAATAAGGACCTGTATGAGTCATGCTTTGCCTCTCTAATTGCAAAGCAAGTCAGATTTGGCAACTTGTGGATGTATCAGAAGCTCAGCAAAGGAAATATTTCAGGTCAGATGGCAGCTGGCTATAGTGACATCAATCTCCTATTTGACCATGGACAGAAAAAGCCCTCAGTTCTGGCTCTTAGGCACAGTTGCCAAAAACACCTGGGGTCAAATTCTGCGTTTTGATGCGATTTTGACATCCCTTTTGTCAGTTCTCTGCAGAGTATGTCTTTGCCAAGGAATTTCACTGTGAGGTGGCAGCCAGCAGCACAGAGCCAGGTCCTTCTTCTTCTAAATAAGCTGCCAGGCCAGCTTTGCTCAACATGACCACCAGCTCTGTGCTGACAGAGCACATCTCTGTCATGAGATGAGAGATTGCCTCTCATCAAGCAGAGGATGTGACTGACTCAAGGTGCTGATTGAACCCTCCAAAGCTACTGCAAGCTTACAGAACAGCATGAAAGGGAAGACACAAACCTGAGGTTTTGTTTAGATACACCTCTAGGTGTTGGTTACAGATGTGCCTCAAGCATTTTGTTCTTGAAGTCACATTAAGGAAGAGTTTGTGATCAAAAAAAACCCTGCAATTCTTGAACAGCAAAACAAAGGCTGATTAAAGGCCACAAAGCAATTAATAACCAGATTCATTTACTGGAATTAACTTACCTCAATTGCACTGGTGTACTGCTCAAGTCTACTGTCAATCTTTGAGACAACTGTTGTTGTCTGGGTGGGTTTCATACCACTATATAGGAAGTGGGGAAAAAAAAATAAATGCAAGAATTATTTTCTCTCCACTTAAACACTACTGTTTGCAATAAACTTATTGTTTCTTTAATTTACCTCTTTTGAGCGGATTTGTTCAAGAATTCCGTTCGCTCCTCTATCTAGAAAAGAGAGGAACAAAAGCTTTAAGTTTCAAGTTAATAAAGAGCCAGCCTGTGCAAGGCCAGCCTGAAACGTCATTTCAAATGTCAAAAAAGTCAGTCTGAAAGAGATACATTCCAACAGAAATGTCACAGACACACACAAACAAAGGTTTTATAGATAGGAGCCTCTTATGCTGCAGATTCATAAAAATGGATATATTTTCTCCATGAATGTTTGCACCCTACAGATTTCTTCAGTGCCTCACATGTAACAGGAGAATAAATGAACAACACAGAAAGAGGAAATGGGAAGGAGTCTGTCTTGTGGAAGGGACTGAGATCCACTAAAACCTGTGTCGTCCTCACATCTCCCACACAAGAGCAAGGACGTATCTCTTGATATAGACAGCAAATTAAATCAAGTTTTTCTGAGATGAGACATCAGACTAGGCCAGGTTTGGAGCTCAGCCACAAAGCCTCCCTTACTCATGTTTTTGGAGGACACTAACAATTTAAATTTGAGCTCCAAAACACCCATCAGTGTAAACCCTGCTCACGTTCAGGCAGGGTCACTGCTGAATCAGTATCTACCAGCTGTTATTATACAACCTGGTATCTGACATTTCATCATTATTTTCTACTCTATAAATAGGAAAATATTGTGACATTTCCAGGGAGGAAGACTCATGAAGGTCTCATATGACTTCTGTCAAATCTCTCAATACTTTGAAAACAAAAAACTCCATCCCTGAATAAAGTTTTAAAACATTTCACAGTGGGGAAATGGGGAGCATGTGCATCTATTTGTATTCTGGGTCAAGAAATATTTTCATCAAACTTCCTCAAGTCTTATCTACATTGCATTGTCCCACTTATCACCCCAGGCTCTACAGTTTCACTTAGAAGTAAAATACATGCAAGCAGCTCCAGGGGATTGAAATGATTAATAATCATCCTTGGCTGGATTCCTGGGGATTCCCCAGTCCCAGCAGGGTCTGTCCATGTTCAATTTACTTTAACTGAAGTAAAACTGCTCTGGCATTAGTGCCTTCAACACGAGGCAGTGACAGCCTTTCCTTTAAATGGTTCTCTTCAGTGCCTTTAGCATCCAAGGCTATCCCAGAACACCAAATCCCACAGCAATCCCATCAAAGGGCATGCAGGGTTTATTTCTCAAGCCCTTGCAAGCAAAAGCTCAGTTCACTTGAGTGCAGAATTTGCCAAACCAGCTCCCTGGAGGAACTCCAGCTACCACCCATCCTGCTCAAAGGCACCTCTGAAGCTCTAAAACGCACACACAATTTACAGAGCAGTTTCCATTAGCACTTTTAGCTGCCAAAACACGAGCTGAAAGCAGTCCTGAGTGCGAAGATGGGATTTGCTAGGACAAATCCTGTTTCAGTGGAGAGATGTCACAAGGTGGCAGCAAAAGAACGGCAGGAGCTCTGCACACCCACAGGAAGAGGTTACAGCTCTTTCACCCACAGGAGTGCAGCAATGCCACAAAAAGAGCAAGGAAATGGTTCAAAAGTGACCAAACAGACCAAGGATGGTCACCTCAAACACGCTGCCTCACGCCTGCTGTGGTATAGTAGAAGTTTTCCCCTGATTTTCTGTGTCAATGTATCAAAATGATGGGTTATTCCAGCAAGAGCCCCCAGTTTGTCCCCAGTTTGTCCCCAGTTTGTCCCCAGTTTGTCCCCAGTTTGTCCCCAGCTGCATCAGTGAAACCCTGGTGGGAAGCAGGGACAAATAACATGGACTATCCCAAAGAACCAGGACTCAAGGATATTGCCCAATAATTCATTTACAGGATCTTTACTCTCTTTCATGTGCAGGTAGGAGAGATGCTTCTGCACAGAGGGGAAAACCAGACTAGAGTGGGCACTGGTGGAAGAGGTGGGAAGGAAGAGGAATATTATCCTTGTAAAGTAAAAGGACAAAAGTGGGTTCATTCTTTACCCACTAGTAACAGAGGCTCTCAGAGGACCAGCTGTGGGATCAGGAAAAGGTCAGGGGTTGTTCAGAAGAAAAAAGTGGAAAAGCAAAACCAGAAAATAAACTGGAAGGAGTCAGGAAGAAACCCTAAGAACTGGGCAAGGCCTTCTGCCTTGCACAGAGGGATAAAATATCTTCTGCACATTTGTGTGAGGATTTATTGTGGAATATCCTCCCCAAAACATAGCAGAAACAGACATCAAATACACCCAGAGGAAACAAACCCATGCACAGGTGTACTCAACAAAAAAGTCAAATACATTTACACTGCACAGCAACACCTAAAGATCATTTACTCACTGCACATCACACAAACTCCATGCAAAGAACTTAAAACATTTCGCACATACAGTGAACAGTATGACAAAATAGATCTGTAAAAAAAACAGGCAAAGCAAAGTGGTTAACAAAAGATGTTTTCTCAGTTTCAGACCAGGAAATAAAAATAATCTTTTTACTGTATTCATCTTAACAGGATCTTGTTCAATAGCTTGGGCTGTGTTTTGTCACCATGGAATACTTTCAGAACACACACTCAAAAAAGTCAACCTGCCAGCCTCTAATTAAATTATGACCAGAAAGAATGAGTTAACACACAATATGAGATCATGACTCAGGAAACAAAAACTATTGGATATTCCCAGTAAAACACTCTTCACAGAAAGGTATTACACCATTTTTAGGAGTTTTAAACTGGGTATTGGATATTACACAACAGAAACTCGCAAATGGATCCATAGAAAACTCCTCTCAAAAAATGTGTCAAGGAGGAAGGGGAATAAAAAATGAACAGAGGGAGAAATGAAACCCTGTATTTTGATTTTACCTCATATCCAACATGTGGAAGGACCTAGTGGGAATCCATTGGAGGAGTAGTCCCTGGGAGAGGCTTCTCCTTATCCTCCCTGAGTGGCTAACACAGTCTCTTGCTTCATTAAGCACAGTTATGCTTTTTCCTGCTGTCAGCAGCATCTCAGCAGAGTGTGCCAATTTAGAATTTAGCTCAATTTACCTTCCAGACTCAAGTGCTGCCATCAGCATCAAAGATGGGGAAAAACAAATGTCACACATCCTGCTCCTAGCATTCTGTTTTCCCTCTGCCACAAGAATAGATTGTGTGCAAATTCTTTCCAGTCACTGCCCCAGCTGTCAGGTATTGAGAGCAATCATCAGATAGGACAAGACAGGTCTTTAAAGAAAAGAATGTCTCTGAAAAGTCCTATCTTCTGGCTCAGCTGTCAGCAGTGCCTTGCAGAGGGTTCTGGCTGGCACATGTTTGCCAGGAGATGTTTTCTCCAAAGACAGGAACGTCCCAGCCTCCTGCCACTGCTCCCTCCCCTCGACACCCAACTGCTTTTGCATTTCTCCAGGGGTGGTGTTCATCCCCCAGAGGAGAATTAGCACTGGAATATCCTGTTCTCTCCTGATAGAACACAAGGACTCAGTAACCTTCCTTCCCAAAGAAAACACGAGGAATTAACTCCTCTGAAAAGTAAAATGATCAAAGATTTTCCAGGAAATTTCATGCTTTGAGTGCATCATGTTTTGAATCAACTATATTAAGGAAAGGACAAGCACCAGGTAGATGTGAAAGCAGCAGAGGTTGTTCCAAGCTTTGTCCTTACTTAAAAAAAAATTAAGATACAGGACAGAGGTTGAACAGAAGTTTGGTACCACTGCAGCCCACAGGGTGTTCACCCAGCCCTGAGAAATCCAGGCTGCTTCTGTCCCTGAGCTAGTGATGAACTTGGCCTGCATTTATTTGGCATGTTTTCTTTTCACTGTCCCCTCAGAAGGAACCAACCCTCGTGCTGTCACTCCACTTCTGGTGGCTCTGCTGAAGAAGTGTCTCAGGTTTGAGGGAAACAAACCTTAATTCTCATTTTTTTTTACCGTATTTACCAGTCAAAACAACAGGACTTGTCACAACTGTGATTTCTAGAGGCCAATCCCAGAAGGTTTGTATAAATATAAGCACGTATGCATGTTTTGTATACGTATATATATATATATATCCTTTTGGGCATCCATGAGCTGTGTCATACATGGAGAGGAGCTGCACATCTTTGTCTCCCAGCCTAGTCCTGCCTGAGGGACAGCTGCAGCATCCAGAGGATGCCAATATCCCACGCTGCTGCTCACTTAAGCTCCCTTCTTTCCTTTTTTCTCACAGCTCCCTTGGTAATCAGCACACCCAAATTTCCTCACACTAGCCACTCCTATGAACTTCTTTTTCTTCCCAAAAGCTTATCACATCAGGAAGGACAGGGAAAGAGTAAAAAGGTGCTTTGCCAGATTGTGACCCAGGAGAAGTCAGAACGTGCTCATGTATCATACATTTTTATTTTTTTTTAATACTGAACCTCCCTTTTTTCAGTATTAATTCCAACCACCCACCCACAACGGTGCATTTGGGATTCTCACATGACTCATGGCAGATCTAACAAGATGATACATCCATCAAGGGAGAAAACCTGTGCCAGATGCTTTACAAATCAAAAGATAACTTGGGCAGTGCAGAGCAGACAGTGAGAGAGCTGCGTACCAAGCAGCTGAGACCAGCCTGAGAAGTCAGTCCAAATTAAAGGTAACAAAATAGATTGTCTTCTAATTACTGGGTTTTGACATCAAGTTTCACATCAGGTTAATAAACTGAGATCACTCTCCCCTCAGCTCTTGACCACAGAATGCCAAGAAACAGTTTGGGGTGTGAATTTCTAGAGCATTGCATATCTACACTGGCCACCCACAGACACTGGACTGGAATCTGTGGAGTATCACCAATTTCTCAGACAGAGAAACAGAGAAAGAGGAAAAAAATGTCTAGAGCTGCATATATCAGGTTTTGTAGCAAACAACTTCTACCTAACAAGACACAAAACCCAGCACAAAAAAGGAAAAAAATAATTGTACCTTGGATGCCTAATAACATTTGAAAAATTTCAGCTTTCCTCTGAAAATACACTTAAAATAGTGTAACATCAGCACAAAAGGTACCTGAAAGCTTTTAGCCTCCTGCCAAGTCCGGTGTTTTTTCACACTTTCCCCAAAATTAGGATCAATATCCTTTTTACTTTGTGTTTTCAAGTACAATTTCCTCCATTCTGAGCCTTCTGTGAATTAAAGCTCCAAATGAATGTCATAAAAGGCATCTCAATAAACAGAAGGAAAGGAAGCCCTCCCAGGAGGGCTGGGAAGAAGCTGTACATTTATGGTGTCTGTTATAGACATCATCTTTAGCAACCAAAATGGCAAGACCAGGTTTAACTACTTGGGGCAAGTCCTGAAGCTTTGCAATCTTTGTTTACAGCTGTGTGCATTCTGTTCCAGTATTTCACATTCAAATGTGTCTTAAAAGCAAAAGGCAAATCCATTCAAAAACATTTATACTCTGTATTTGCTAGAACTGGACCCAAAACAGACCTGAATCCCCAGACTGGACCAAAGTGTAGCTCTCTGTGAGTGGAAAACTAATTTTGTCCAAATGCAATTTTTCACTCAACAGTTACAGTTTTAACCTCATGGAGATCCAGTTCATGGTTCAATGAGCTGCTACCTGGTTCTTTTCTCTCCTAGCTCCCACTAAGTGGCCTTTTTGACAAACATTTTGGATTCTTAGATGACTAATGAAGCAAAATGAAAAAAGGAAAATGTCCTTGAAAACATTAATAGGTCTGCAGTTTGAGCTTGTGCTGAGAAAGGAACTGGACTGAATTCCAAAACAATACTCCCAATAATTTCAGTGGGGCCAGGATTCCTCTTCCATGCTGAAAGACCATTTAATTGATTTATCACACTTCTAATGTAATATAGGCCACAAAAGGCCATTTAGAAATCCTGCAGCAACAGAAGGGTGAGGTTTGTATTTCTTGTTATGTAAGAAAATGAAATCCAGCCCAGTACTTCTAGATGTTATTTTTAGGGGGATTAGACATAAGCTAGAATTCCCATACAGCTCAGTTACAATTAATGATGATTAGGCTGAATATGCTTAAGGACAAAGTAATCTGGCAAGCAAGAAAATAACTGTGGATGAGGAAGGAGTGAGGGAACATTTGTGACTTTGTGGTCTTAAAAGATCTTTTCCAACCTAAATGATTCTATGACTCTTCTCCAGCTCACAAAGCACTGCTAAAATAAATTAAAAACAACACAGTAATGCAGCTCAAGGTTTCAAAAATAATTTTCTCTTGAAGATCCTTTTTGGAGATTCTTCATCAGGAAGAGACAGCTGCCAGTCTGGTCTCTATTTTTAGGAAGGAACTCTAAATTTTCAATCATCCCAATGAAGTCTTTCAGCTAGAGGGTTCAGGCTAAGTCTATCAAAGCATTTTCTCAGGTCTGGTTGCTTTTCATGTTGGATTGTTGGTTTGGACTACAAACCCCATTGTTTTTTATGTATGTTTTTTAATTTTTTTTATGTTTTTAAATAGATGCCAGTGGGGAGGTTACCTTGAGAGATGAGCCTTTAGGACTGAAACATTTAAAGGGCTTCTTGTCTTCAGACACACCATCTTCTGGCATCTTCTGGCGTTTCTCAGCAGCTTCAGCCCTTCTTCGTTCGATCTCTTCCTTCATCCTCCTCTTTTCCTCCTTAAAAAATATCAGAACTTTCAGAACTACATCACCATCACAAGGCTGTGTGCAGCCCTGCAAACATTTACCAGATTTTCTAAAAACAGATTTTTATGCCAGTTGAGAAAGTTCAGTGATCTGCCTGAAATGTACAAAGGTGTTAATGCCAATCCATCAGGAACACAATTAGATCTGCCCTAGATCCTCCTCACAGCCAAGTCACCAAATTTATCTGTCATATAGTTCCACTTAAACAGAGAAAAAGACTCGAGCTCAATTCCTCTGTATTCTCACATGTCACACTGGTATTGTTCTTCTGTCCCTCTACTCTGACACTTATTGTGCCAAGGTTAATATTTAACGTGGAAAAATCAGTAGGTGGCCAAGGAACCCAAGATTAAATGCTTGCAGATCTCCCTCCAGAGCTGAGTTTTGCTTCACCAGCTACAAGTCAAACCAGAAACCCCCAAGGCAGCCCCAGTGTGAGCATTGGTCAGTGGGTCTGACCAGCAGGGTATTGTGCAATCCTGCCAGCTACTGAGTTCTGCTGGAAAAAGCTCAGTACGTTAAAGGAATTGGCATTCAGCTGCCAGATACTATCAGTATTATTCATTTACCATTTGTTTTCCAAACAACTAGGATTCCTAAATGATGCACCAGAGACTTGGAAATCCTATTTGCAGAGCCCCTTGGCAGAGGAAGTACAAGAAAACAGATGTGTTGGATACTCAATATTTAAATAGACAAGAATATCTCCCTAATGAGATCTAGCCCATTGTAACTATATATAACATTAGCATTACAGCCCATCTGCAGCAGATAAATTTTGACATGCACTTTGTAATTCTATCTGTATATAACGTCAAAAAAATTCTGTGGCTACAGCCCTGCCCCGAGATTTTGAATCCCCAAGAAGATAAGAGCTTTGCAGCTATCACAGCTGAAATCCTGGCTCATGGAAACAGATACTGGAGCCCTGTCCTTCCTAAGGCTAGAATTAAAACCTTTTTTCCTACTCTGGATGCTGCTCAGGTCTTCACTAAACAATGCTGCAAAGAGCTGTCAACTAATGTGAGGAGAGTGGAAATAAAATAGAAATACTGGAATAAACCAAAACTCCCTATTTCACACTTACCTCCTCTCTGATTTTTCTCTCAGCCTCCTCCTGTTTCTTCTTCTGCTCCTCTTCCTCCAGGATTTTCCGGCGCTCCTCCCGCCTTTTCTTCAGCTCGTCCAGCTCTGCTGCCGCCTCCTGCTGCTTCTCCTTCAGCTTCTCCAGCTCCTCGCTCTCGTTCTCGCCCCGGCGGCGCCGCTGATCCTCCAGCCTCTTCAGAGCCTCCACGCCCGGCTTGGCCTCCTCCGCGTTGGCGCTCCCCTTCGAGCGGCTGGGAAGGCAAGGAAAGGAGAAACGGTGCCATGGGATTTCCCTTCCCGGCCACAGCCACCTGCTGCCTCCTGCTCAGCAGAGCTCCAAGGTCCTTCCAGCACCTTCTGGCCCAAAACATTTCCATCAGGAGCTGTCAGGCACAAGGAGCACCTGTGCCACGTTCAGCGCTGAGGACGTGTGCCACCCCTGTGTGTCACAAAGGATGCACCGACCCTTTGCTTTCCAGAGTTACCTTCTATAACCCTTCTAGATAAAGACAAGCACCTCTGGGGACAGAAACATTTACTTGACTCCGGGAAAACAGGAGGGGAAAAAAGAGAGGGGAGAGAATCTTCCAGTCTCATCAACGTTTTTAAAAAAAACCCTAAAAAACCTATAAAAAACCCTAAAAAACCCCTATAACACCCAACCCTAACTCCACCAGCACGTACGAACAGAAAGGTTCATCAGCTCTTTGGTTTACATTTCATGGGGAAAATATGAGTTTTTGGTAAGGAACTGGAAATTATTAATGGTAACTTTCCACAGGAGAGGAGGGAAGGGAAAGGGAAAGGGAAAGGGAAAGGGAAA